AGTGGCATTGCGAGGTCCCAAATGGAGAAAAGCATAATTTTCCAAGGACATTTCTTAATGAAATTAGAGAAATATATGGGAATAGGTTTCAAGATCTTGTTCGTTTGCTTGGAACAGCTTGTCTGCAAGATGTCAAAATAACGTGGAGGCTTTGGTCAAAGTCATGCGATTGGCCGGCTCCGCTCGTTGCAAGCATACTTCTAATTGAGATGGAAGCTAGCAATGTGCCTTGTACATTGGTCCAGCAACAGCATTGAGACTGGCTGAGTTCACACAAGACGTTGAACCAGGATCTGACAAACCAGGTTTTAACTGGGGGCCTTGCATGATACGTTTATGATTCAGAAACACTGCTCAGTTAATGATGGATAAGGGTGGCATGTGAACAGGATCTTCTGCCTGCCAAGTAGGTGAACAGTAGATGGGTAGAAAGAGGGTGGAAGGTGATTCTTTGATTCTGTATGGTGCAGTGTTTTTCAACCTTGGCAACTTTAAGATGGGTGAACTTCAATTCCCAGAATTCCCCAGCCAGCCATGCTGGCTGGGGAATTCTGGGAGTTGAAGTCCATCCATCTTAAAGTTGCAAAAGTTGAGAAACACTGGTGTAGTGGATTCTTGTACTGGCAGGGGCATTGAAGTAGATGATCTCCAAAGTCTTTTTTGCTTCTGTTATTCTATGGTTCTAATATATTCTCTTTCAACCTTGCAGAAAGATAACTAGATAGAAATCGCATCTGGTGTCTGTAGTAATGGATTTCTGCCCTGGGCAGGGAGTTGAACTAAATGGTCTTGAAGGTCCCTTAATTCTTATTTTCTCTGTCTGTGATGATTGGGCTTTGGTGAACCCCGATGAATTTCTATAGGGCCTCTCCGGGGAATTCTGTTAATACCATGGAGATTATTTTGGTTTCTCTTTGGGTATCTCCAGTCTTTCTCTCCACGCCCTAAGCAGCACTCTGTCAAAGATGTGAAGTGTTTTGGCTTTGAACCAGAGGTATCAGCATTGAAAACATCCAGACAGCAAAACTTGGCAAGAGGAAGATGCGCCTTCTAGGGCAGTGGCTGTAAAAACATTGTTAGGCATGTGTTGTGTGGACTGCTAATAGAAAAGTCATCAAGTGGGGAGAGCGGGGGAGGCTGAAAGGGGATTTTGGAAAGTGCCTCCTCGTGTTGTTACCGATAATAGCCGTGAGATATCCTTGGGTGGAGAGGACTCCATTCAGTAGGAAAACTCTTTATGAATTGGATCTGGTGGGATCTGCACTCCCAACCTGGTGTCCTCTAAATGCACTGGGGTACGATTCCCAGAGGGCCATGCCAGCTGGGAGTTCTGGAAGTTGTAGTGCCGGTGCTGCTGGGGCACACCAGTTAGGAACGGCTGGGCTAGAGTAGAATGCAAATAGAGCTTAGCAAAAGAAAGTGGGTTTGATTTCTGATGGCATCCAACATCTCTTTTGGAAGGAAGTACAGTGGTACCTTGGTTCACGAACTTAATTCGTTCCACAATTCTGGTCGTGAGCCGAATTGGTCGTGAGCCGAATCAGATTTCCCCATAAGGTTCAATGTAAATAAGGTTAATCCGTTCTGAACCATATG